TCTACTGCAAATAATTTGAGTACTGCCATACCTGGTCATAGCCATAACGAGGAACCATAAAGACGAACAACCTGTCTCTTTGGATGTTGAAGTATCTGAGCAAGCAACAGCAACTATCCCTCTACTATTGGTGAAATGGAACACAAAAGGAACAGGAAATGTTAATATGGTCTTCTTCATGATACTTCCCACCCCTCCTATTACACTGTGATTCTCGAACTCTTGCTTACTTTTTTAGGTTGGCAACACCTTTCACAAAGAAGGAGCAAAACTGGTGATTTTGCTTCCAAGATTCATTCATTTAGGTTTTTGCCAGTGCAGTGCCTGACATAAGGCTGTAGTTTAGTTCAAATTGCCATTGTCTGCTCCTATGTTTTGTGGATATTTTAAATTTTATTCCTGAATTTACTTCTGCCATGTGTCTTACTTGGCATGTTTCTTGTCCGTAGATTAACAAGAAATGCAGAAGACTTTGCATGGATTCACCAGAGAAAATCTTGGATGGAATCCTCTAGGAAATATTGCCAAAGTCAAAAGAAGACTCACAGCAATGAACTAATTAATTCCTTCTCTTGCCACAGAACAGTAATTAAACATAAATGGATAAAAGCATTAGCTAGAAAAGTAGAGTTGCTTCATTTTGCATTTTTTTTCCCAACATTTGGCAACTACAGATAATGCATTCTTTTGAGATTTAGTGCATGCTTCTAACAATTAATTGAACCTGTGGGAATTTTTTCTTTTTTTCAAATGTGAAAGAGAGGGCACAGTCACACAGGAAAAAAAAATGCTCCAGATTTGTGCTGCTTTTGGCTAAGGTAGAGTTAATTTTCCTCATAGTAGATAGTATGGGGCTGTGTTTTGGAATTGTTCTGGAAACAATGTTGATAATAGAGTATTTTAATTACTGGTGGGCAGGGCTTACACAGCGTCAAGGCCTTTCCTGCCTCTCATACTGCACCACCTACAATGGGGCCTGGGATGCACGAGGAGTTGAGGGGGGCACAACCAGGACAACTGAGCCCAGCTGACCCAAGGGATGTCCCAAACGATATGGTGTCATGATCAGCATATAAAGCCAGGTGAAGAAAAATGAAAGGGGGATGTTTAGAGTGATGGTGCTTGTCTTCTCAAGTAATTTTTACATGGGATGGAGCTCAGCTTTCCTGGGAATGGATGAACACTTGCTTGCCAGCCCATGGAAATTGGTGAATGAGTTCCTTGGTCTGCTTTTTTATGTGCTTATTTTCTTATCTTATAATCAGTAAGTACACTCCTCTGTGTTTTCATAGGTTCAGTGATTAAGCAGTTTTGATCCTGATAACCTTATCAGTGCTATGTCACAGGAGATAGTGTGTAAATCTTCTGACATCACATTTTAAAATGCAGTTTTTCTGAACTATATACAGTATTTCAGACCACTAGTTTGAGTTTACCACTGGAAACCCTAAGCATGGCATGAATCCATAATCTATATATCCACAGTCCTACAACATCCAAGATAACTCAAGAGTCAAATCTGTAGTGGCCTGGGGTCATACCTAAAAATAGTAAAATAAATCTGGCAAATACTTTCATTTCTTTGAGTTATAGAATTAAAAAAAGAAAATCAATAGCCTATCGCATTAAAAAATTTTTACAATAAATTAAGTGGAGTTTCTCTTGCTGAGTATGTGTCTGTATTCAGCAACAGTAACATTAACCCAAGAATGTAAGTAAACAAATGAGAGAAGGAAAATGCAAAATGTCACTTTCACTGATGTTGTTTTTTTGCTTGATATCACATTTGCCACTTATTTTGGACTTTGTGCCCTGAAGTTGCAGATGATAACTAGACAGTGCTATCAGTTTTTCTGATGAGAAATTATAAATATATTTTTTTACCTAAATATTTTCTTATTTCCACTAGCTCTTGACAATCATACACCATGGCTAGATATTAGTGAAATCAAGGAAAATTATGAGGAACAATACTATATAGCACAGATCAAGATATGGTAACTTACTACAAGGCATTTAATTTTTTAAGAGAGGAGTAAGTCCTCTATGGCACTACCCTATTGCGTTAACTCTTAAATATTTTTTAACCTTTCTTGAGAAAGTGTTTTTCTTTTCATACATATTACATTGCATGACCCTCCATAAATTTATTTAAAAGAAAAAGAAGAAGAGATTTTCCTTAGCCCTTTCATATTCAAAACCATTTTGTTCTTGTCTTTTATTAAATGAGGCATACCAGAATTTGAACAGAAGGAGTTGTATGTATCCTTTGTGTCCTGTTCCAGTAGTGAGTGTTTGGAACTTCAATACCTGTTTTTGCTCTCCAGTATCTCTCCTCTCATCAGTTTCTTTAAAATCCTTATTTTTCTATTTTTTCATCCCATCACTTTTTTCACTGGTGTCTTATTTAAGGCAATTTCCATCCCACTTAGAAACAGCTGCCTCTGCTGTTTTTTTTCTCTTTTTTTTTTTTCTTTTTTTATCATAGTGGCTATATCAAACCTATACTTTAAATCACAATTTGCTGAATTCTAGTTCTTACATAAAAGTTAAGCCAAGCCACTTATTGTATTAGCAAATTAAAATAAAACTCTGATTGCTTCTTGCATTGGTTTTAAAATCAAGGCCTCAATTTTTTCTCTCAATGGTTAAAATATTGGCATTATTTTAGGGAAAAGCAGGTAACATAATTTTTTGTTTTAACTGTTGGGAAACTAAGCTACAACAGCTTGCCTGATATCAGTGAGAAACTGTACCAAAATCTATCAACTAGAGGTATGGCAGGGTGGTGTCTTGTTAAATTGTATTTAGTGGATGAAAAAAGACAAACAAAACAGTGTTTTTTTCAGATTCTTTTTTTTCGAGAGCAATTAGGATAACGTGTAGTTTATGCATGCCTTATGGTTCCTTCATAACTGAAATGATAGGAAAGCTCTCTAGAGCATTAGGGAAAGAGCAGGAGCTATTAGCAGATATAACCTTTGGGAACAGTCTATCTTAAAAAGCTGTGAAGTTTGAGTTTATTCTGACCACTCTGTGTCCATAGGATTGAGAAGGGTTGCTGACCTCCTGTCAGGTTTTCATCTGAACTGTCAGCTTCCAAAAAAGCTGTGTTTATGTCCCAATGAAAGCAGAGCTTTTCAGGTTTTCTTCGCTTTTCCTCTGTAATAAAAACAATGAATAAATCAGGCCTGTCAGTGTTGGGGAGCTTTTAGAAAGTAAACTTAGTAAGGGGAATTTTTTTTAGCTATTAGGGGCCAAATGACACCTGGAAACTGTTAATACATTGTCTATAATGATTGAAGTACCTTGCAAATGAGGTCTTGTCTATGTTGTCTCTTGTTTATGATGAACACTACAGATTTTGATAAAAAATATGGGGTTGTTAGTTTTACAGTGTTCTCTAGTAAAACTGAGTGGGATAATGAACACATTCCTCACAAACACAATGGACTTTTTTGGCCAGAGATGCATACACTAATGTGACCATTTCCTTCCCTTAATCTGTCATGGACAGAGTTTCAAGGATTGAATTGCCCCAAAGGGCCATTTAAGACCATTCCTGAAACCTGCTCCCAGAGGTTTTCCACATTACCAGTATCTACCATTCCTGGGAGGAAACCTTCCTGTGGTTGACTGCCTCGTCATGGTGCCCTCACATCTCAAGCCCCAAAACAGCCTTACAGCACTAACAGCAGTCCCTACCTGCATACAACCTCATTGCTGACAGGGTCAGTCAAAACTATTACTGTAACTCAGTAACAAAACATTGTTAACCATTTCTTTTGCGCGTAAGGACAGTCACACACCTCAGCAGCCAAGGACAACCAATTAGAGATGCATCAATGCATTGGACTTGGTAAACTGAAGGTACTATTTAAAAAATTGTCACGAAAAAGATGTAAAGAATGCAAGCTTTTAAATCAAAATATCTGGCTATGGTTCTGTTTTAGTAAGCAATATTTTTCATACTGTTTTTAGCTGAGGACATGGCTAAGAACACTACAGCAGTGAAAGCATATTCATTTGATTAATGGAAAAGCAATTTGGAAGTTAAAAATATGACAGATTTCTGGCTTTTTAAAAGAGCAAATAATAACATTAAAGAACTCTGCTTTATTTGGCAACTGATTTCTGCCTCTGAGCCAGAAGTAATACTATCAAATTTTACCATGTGCCACTGCAAACACTTCAGTATGTGGAGTCTTGAATGCTGGTGTCATTGCTGACCTGTTACTTCTCCTTGTCATCGTGCCACTCTCTTGTTTATGCAAACAAAAGTGTTTCTGTGACAACACATCAGTCTAGATTTGGAGAATGACTAAGTGTTTTTAAGAGCAGGGAAGATGTCTGTTGATCGATTAAAGACCAAATAAAAAACTTCTGCATATTTTTTTCAGGGATGTTTGAAAGTCTTAAGCTTTAGAAACTACTTTCATATATGGAACTACTTCCTTATCTATGGAAGTTACCAAGACAAAAATGATTCCAAAAAGACAGGTGTGGTGAGTTAATCTTGGCTGGCTGCCACCCAGCTGCTCTCTAACTCCTTCTCCTCTCCAGGACAAGAAGATAAAATGGAAAGGTCATTGACTGAGATAAGGACAGAGAGATCACTCACGAGTTACCATTATAGGCAAAATGAACTCTACTTGGAGAAGGTTGATTTAATTTATTGCCAGTTACTAACATAGTAGGGATGGGGGATAGGGAATGGGTATTGTGGTCAGTATGTAACACCTGTCTCTACTGCTTCTTCCTCCTCATGCTCTTCCCCTGCTCCAGGTCCTTTCCACAGTGTACAGTTCTTTGGGAATGAACTTCTTCAGTGTGAATCCCCTAAGGATCACAGCTTTTACCAGAAAACCTGGTAAAAAAACCTATGTGGACCCCTCTTCACAGGCTGCAGTTCCTGCCATGTCTCCCTTGGGTTTCAGCTTCCATCAAGGAAATGTCTGCAGCAGCACAGGATAGTCCAGAGCCTGCAAGGGGATCTCTACTCCACCGTGGACCTCCATGGATTGCAGGGGCACAGCTGCCCAATCATGGTCTGCACATGGGCTGCAGGAGAATTTCTGCTCCAGTGCCTGGAGCACCTTCTCTCTTTCAATTAGCAATAATTGCACCTCAGATTAACCTCGTTGGCTACGATACTGCCACTGTGCAAAGCTTCTTTCCTTCATAGACCTCGGTGTCTGCAGGGCTGTTTCTCACACATATTCTCACTTGTCTCTTCAGCTGCTGCACAGCTGGTTTTTTTTCACCCTTTCTTAAATCCATTATTAGAGCGGTACCACCAGCATCATTAATGGGCTCTGCTTTGGACAGTGGTGGGTCTGCTTTGGAACCGACTGGAGTTATCTGTGTGTCCAACATGCAGTCAGATCCTGATGTTTTCTCATAGAAGCCACCCCTGCAGCCCCTCTGCTACCACAACCTTATCACATAAATCCGATATAACAGGATATTTGTGAGTCAGGGTCTAACCCAAAGGAAAATTTACACCTTATGCCTATCCAGCTGCAATGGTCAGGAAAGTACAAGAATTGAAATTTGTTTTAAATAGCCTACAGGCTGCAGAGAGACATAAGATTGAGTCGTAAAGGCAGCATATCAACAAAAATCACACTGTACAACAACCTGAACTGTCTTGCCAGGTAGCTTGGATGATATAAAGGGAAACAGACAAAAACGATACTAAATGAAAAAAAAAAATTAAAATATCATTACTTTGAGAGGCTGCTCAGAGAATTTGCTGAGGTCTCACCAAAATCAGTTATAAAATATTTATGAACTTGCACAGAACACAGATTTGGGCCTCCAAATGTGCATCAGGCAAGGATATGGGACAGGGCACACGTTAAAAACACTCTGCAGAGCATGATGAAATTTTGAATGGACCAGTATGGAATTAATTGCTAAATAGAACTCATCTTACAGGCATGGTAAATGCTGTGTGATACCAGTACTCTTAAATTATGCTTCAGGACATTTTCTTGGAATAAATCTTTGGGTAAAATAAGAGTATGCATGGACTTTCATTTGAAGGAGTACAGTACACTGCCTTTGTCTGTAACAATAATCTCTTTATTGATACTGAAGATCCAAAAAACAGGAAACATCCTGACACAATAAAATGTCTTTTTGTAATGTTCTTGGTTTGCTCTACACAATTCATCAGCCCCATGATGATCAAGGGAGGAAGAAAAAGGGAGCTTCTTTGACACCTGACTGGAATAACTAACAGTTTGAGAAGAAAGTTTTGTACTTGTTTTATCTCCAAATTTATTTCCTCCTGAGTGATTTCTTTTCAAACTCAAAGCCTGACAGTTGGAAATGTTTATACTGACAACAGTAATTGTAACTTCTGCTTTTCCTTATAAATAGTTTATGCCCTTTAATGGTCTGATGGCCTTCTTTAAGAAGTTTATTAATTAAACATAATGTTGTATTAGCCTGTGTATAAAGACTTATAAAACTAGAGTAATGTAAATAATTTACATTTTTTCAGAGTGTTTTGTAGTATCTTGCTGGAGGAAGTGAAGTAATTTATAACTGTCAGGACTTTCAATTTGTGAGCCAGGATCACTCAGAGAGACTGAGAAAATAAACAGAAATGTTTGTTTCTCAACAAGAATTTCATATGAAATACGAGTAGAGTACAAAGGTAATAAATCCTCCATTTAGAAAATATACCAAGTATCAATGCAAGAAAATGCTTCAAAATGTGCAAAGTGAATTCATCATAATGCTGAGTTCAGCATACTGCTGATCAAGGCACACTCTTTGTGAAGGTGGCTGGAATGGAGAAAAGCATAGGTCTTGCCGTAATATCTTTTCCCAGTTGCACCTGGAACAAAAGGCAGCTAGTGCACAGAGCACAGCAATAACTAACCTTTGACTGGAGGACATGAAGATGAGTGGTCCATAGTGATCTATGTAAGGTCTGTCCTAAGTAAGGGCTTTAACTGATTACAACATTTATCTAGTGCTTATATCAAAATCTGAAGTAAAAGAATTTTCTTGGGCACTTTAATAATTTTGTGTTTATTAGAGAAATGGAGCACCTCTCCTATGAGGAAAGGCTAAGAGAATTGGGATTGTTCAATTTGGAAAAGAGAAAGCTTCAGGGTGATGTAATTGCAGCTTTTCAGTACCTGAAGGGAGCCTGCAAGAAAAATTGAGAGTGACTATAAGAGCATGTAGTGACAGGACAAGGGGGAATGGGTTCAAACTGAAAGAAAATAAGTTTAGAATAAATATCAGGAAAAACTTCTTTACTGTGAGGGTGTTGAGGCACTGGAATAGGTTGCCCAGAGAAGTTGTTGATGCCCCACCCCTGGAAGTTTTCAGGGCCAGACTGGGTGGGGCTCTGAGCAATCTGATCTAGTGAAAGGTGTTCATGCTTGCAACAGGGGAGCTGGAACTTGATCTGTAAGGTCCCTTCCAACCCAAACCATTCTATGATTCTATGACAAGGACAGTGACATTTATACATCTCCCCTGAAGATGACCTTAGGTTTTAACTCCTACATTTTGAAAGTAGGAAAGAATGGGCATAAAATTTACACATACCAAATTTAAATTCTAAGTCTTTTAGCTGCCTCCAAAATAAAGTTTCAAGTTTCAATATGAAATTGCTGTGCCAAGGTTGAGGACAACAGGAAACCTTGCTGTACACAGTTTAATATGCATTTATGCTTTAAACTGCTGTGCCAATGCCTTGCATTACTATTGAAGTGAGGTGGTATGTCTACAGAAGGAGCACTATTACATGCATGTTCTTTCACATCCCTGGAACACTCTCCATAATGAAATTATAAGCATTTTTGGTATTTCTGTTATCAAACATAATGAATAAAATTACAGGCAGCTTTTTTTCAGACATTTTTCCTGGTTTGTGCACTTGATTCTGGAAACATAATGGTTCTTTTCCCTCCTTTTTTCCAATTATTTTTTCTTTTTCTCTTTTATTTCCTTTTTTTTTTTTAATGCAACGAAGTTGTATTATTTCCTAAATCTCCAAATGATTAAGCTCAAAGCAGAGATTTATTTACATGAAATCTTAGAGAATATCTATCTGGATTGATTTTCAGTGGGACTGATATTTGTAGGTACAGCAGTTTGTCTTGTTTGAGCTGACTAGAGCAGCAGCAGGCAGCCATCTGCATGCTTGGCAGTAAAAGGGAAATGGGAAGAGGTGAGGATCTGGGGTTTGATTCCAGATGAGGAAGAGGAGCGTTCTCTAATAAAGGAGGAACTTCCTGCTCCACCCACCCTATTTGCCCCCAACCTAGTCCTGGCACTGGCATTGGCTCTCAGCTTCAGTTACCTTGTTTTGTGAGATTAGTACATTAGATAAGGTCTAAGCGCTGTCCTGGGACTGTCTATTTTGATTTACTGCTAGCATTCTATCAGGTATGGTTTTAGGCAGACATCAGACTGCCACAGACAACACCCACTTAGGGTTCAGGGAGCAGTAATTGGGCCAGGGATAATTCTGCAGGCACTCCGGATGAAGCCACTCTGTTGTGAATGAAAAGGTGTCTATTCTGATCACATCATGCCCTACTGCTTTTTCTCCCCAGCCAGAGAATAAACTCTGCATCTTTCCAAAGTGCAAAAGGCTCATCTTTAAACCGCTAAATTTATTGTGGTTTATTTTAGTCAGGATGGCTTAGGGAGCACTTACACGATCAACCATCTATGGATCTGAGGGGATAGTAGTACCTGGTGTGGGAGCTGAACTAAACAGTTAGCAATAACACAGTTGCCCAGTTGATAGCTCTCTTTCCAGCAGAATGACATGATTCCAAACAAAGAATATCTGTATGTAGACTAAATTACAGGGTGAACCACATAAACTGAGGATTTTAGAGCTCTTAGAAACCAATCCATAATGAAGTATTGAAAGAGAAATTAAGTGGTATTTTCTTACCACAGAAATTGTAACTTTGATCCTATGATCACTATAACACTAATATTAAAGAGAGAGCTGAGCAGTTTTTGGTTGTCTATTATTCAGAGATTGTCCTTAATGGAGACTGTCCTTAATGATGTCCTGTTCGGCAGGTCACCTACCCACTGTTCTTATCTAAGATTTATTTGGTAACATTCATAAAGACATCACTTATATTATTATTATTATTATTATTATTATTATTATTATTATTATTATTATTATTATTATTATTATTATTATTATTATTATTATTATATTACTTATTATAATATTATTATAATATTATAATCACTTTTTATATTATTATTATTATTATTATAAATACATCTGTTTATGAACATTGACAGGTGTGTCTAATGAGGAGGGACAACATACAAATCTACATTATTATTATTATTATTTTTATTCAGTCTGTAATCTGTTCAAGCTAGTAATTTGCAAGCATGTCAGTATCACTGGCATTGGAGGGTCCCCAGAACAGTTGTGTTTGAACACTGATGTAAAACTGCAAAGCCTTCACTGACTTAGGGGGAACCAAACATATCTGTAAGCCCTGAAGAATTTTTCCTTTTACACCTTATATTTAGTGTGTCCTTTCCATGAGGGGCTGTCTCTCTGGTAGCATTATCAGGAACTGAGGAGGAAAAGGAAGGACTGAATACCCTTTTACCCATATAATTTGCTTTTTCTGTGCATTTTGCCTCATTACTGCAAGGAGGCAGACAGTTAAAGGACCCAAATGATGTGTGTTTGTGCAGGTATAAACATGGGAGAACAGCAAGCATAAGATAGGAAACATTTTTGAATGCCAGAAAAATAAATGATGAGTCCAAAGGTCATACTAATAAAGTCAGGCAAAGTTAGATGTGTAAAAAAAATCCTATAAACCTTTTTTTTTCATTAAACCATTTCATGAGCATAATTGAAGACATTTAACTATCTAGTATAGCAAACATCCATGCTCTTAAAAACAATTTGTTTTACAGATGATTACCATTTGGCTGAACTGTTGTTTATGGCTGTTAGATAATTATTCAAGTGTGCAGTTTTGGACACATAAATGTTCCATGCTTCCTGGTGAAGAAGATCAAGTTAAATGCTAAATATGCACAATATAATATTCAACACACCATATTCTGGAGCATTAATAATCACCAGGGAAATGGTTGGTTTTCTGCTTTCATTACCTTCTCTTTATTTACGGGATGA